CTGGGAGGAACTTTGGAGATCTTCTAGTCCAACCCCAGTGCTCAAGCAGGGGACTCTATACAATTCCAGACAACTAAATGGCTGTTCAATCTCTTCTTAAAAACCCCCAGTGACGAAGCACCCACAATTTCTTGACAAATTAGTAAGGGGGCTGGGATGGGCCGCTTGCTTTCAGAAGTCGTGACGCACCTCCCCGGACTTAACTTCTCCTCTTGTTTGTCGTTTGGCCAACAGGGAGTTGTTTTAGAAGAGCTGGGCTTGTCGAACCTTCCTGAAATTATGCGGCTGTGCACGAATGGAATCCCCGCTTGGCGGGGAGATCCGTCCCTGGTCATTTGGAATGAGGAATTCGATGGGGTGCCAGTGAGGATCTACTCGCCCAAAACGGTCTCGACCGCAAAAAGAAAAGCTGTCCTGTATTTCCACGGCGGGAGTGGCATTATGGGAAGCTACGGTAAGAGACCTCTTCCAAGCCAACCTTCCATTGCTAAGCCAAGATGGTTGGGGAATCTCAGGGCGACGGGCTGAAAAGCATCCTATTTAATGGCAAATCATTACTGAACCGTTACTAAAACATGTGCAACACGTGGAATTCCACTTCATTCAAAGTCTCTCTCTCCCTATTTATTTCTCTCTCTCTCTCTCTCTCACACACACACACAAAACACACACCCCTCTTAATCAATCAGAATAGAGCTGCAAGGGACCTTGGAGGTCTTCTAGTCCAACCCCTGGTCAAGCAGGAAACCCTGTTCCATTTCAGACAGGTGGCTGTCCAAGCCCTTCTTAAGCACCTCCAGTGATGGAGCAGCCACAACTTCTGGTGACAAGCAGTTCCACGGGCTAATTGTCCTCATGTCAGGAAGTTACTCCTGAATTCCAGGTTGCTTCTCTCCTTGATGAGTTTTCATCCTTCGCTTCTTGTCCTGCCTTCTGGGGCTTTGGAGAATAAACTGAACCCCTTTTCTTTGGGGCAGCCCCTCAGATACTGGAAGGCTCCTATCATTTCTCCCCCAGTCCTTTGTTTCAGTAAACTAGACGTACCCAATCCCTGCAGACATTCTTCATATGTTTTAGCCTCCAGGCTTTTAATTGTCTTAGTTGCTTCCTTTTATTTTTATAAATCGATACTCGCGCTTCATGTTATTTGGATCCTATGGCTCTGTTTATACTACCAAGGATCGTATTAGCTTCTTGGGCTGCCGCCGCACACTTCTGACTCAGGTTTCATGGATCGTCCCCACTCACATTCCAAGATCCCACCCACTATTACTGGTTTTGAGCCTGGTTTTGACTTGTGTGTACTTATACCTTTGTTTTTTCTTGTGTCAAACCTTGCTTTTCTCCACGTTCAATGTCATGTTGTTGAATAAGGGCTCGTTGTTCCGAGTCCGTCAAGATCTTTTTCTATCCGGAGCTTGTCTTCTGGGGTGTTGGTTATTCCTGTCAGCTTAGCGTCATCTGCTGATTTGATGTGTTCTCCTAATCCTTCATCTAAGGCATTCATGAAGATATTGATCAGTACTCTACTTACGATGCTGCTATCAAGAGCGATTCTAGTCCAACTAGTTATGTGCAAGAGTCTGAACCAAGCGAAGGTAGCTATTTAGGTGCCTACGGATGCCGATTAACAAGGGATGATTAATTGATTTTGCAAAACCTGAGCATTTGACAAAGATCTCTATCTAGAGCCATTTGCAAGCCGATATCTGTGTTTATGCCAGCCGCAGCCAAAGCTTTAGTAATTCCCAATATTGCCACAGTGCTTTTCGACACGATCCTGTTATCGGAGAGGGATCTTCTGACATCCTGCCCTCTGAAAGATAATTCCAAAAGCAAACAGGACAACCTTTGGTAAGAGGCTTGGCCAATAGGAAAGTCCTCTCCAGTATGACAGCTTGTCTCTGACAAACCTTTCCTTCCCCCGACTATTGTCTGAAAAAAGGGAAAGGGTTTTCCAGGAATGAAACCTCATCCATTGTAACTCATCGATGCTCGTTTCAGATACCTTCGAAAGATTCCTGAGATACCTGGCCAAAGAGGGGAACGCAATGGTGGTCACAGTTGGGTAAGTGTCACCCCCTTGTCTCGTTAACCTGCAGCAGATTTAGGACAACTCGCCACAGCCAATTCCCTGCCGAGATAACTTGCTGCGAGCTGGGCCAAGAGTGACACTCGATATCAACGAAATGGTGAAGTAGAATTATTAAAGAAAGAAAGGCTACCAGAGGAGGGACAGAATGAAATGTGAATGGCAAGAAGTTAAAATATATTTTTTTAAAAAATATTTGAAATAATTCAATGGTTGAATTGTCCCGCAGAGAGTTGGCCGCAGCGAGTTTATCCTAAAATAATATTGGGTCTTAATATTTGTGTTTTTTTTGCCAAAAGATGTATTAGGACTTATTTTCTGGTTAGGTCTTATGGGGAAACGCAGTACTAAATGCGCCTACCTGGTTGGTGCTCTTAACTGGAGCTTATTTTGGGGTAGGGCTTATATTATGAGCATCATGAGAAATCATGCTAGGACTTATTTTCCAGTTAGGTCTTATTTTCAGGGAAATATGGTACTAAATGTGTCCGACTGGCTGACAAGCTTAACTGGGGCTTATTTTGGGCGGTAGGGCTTATATTACAAGCATCCTGAGAAATTATGCTTTGAGTCTTATTTGGGGGGAAATGGGGTATTTGTAACATTAATAGAAGTAAAGAGAAACTTCCTAACAGTGAGAACAATTAACCAGTGGAATAGTTTGCCTTCAGAAATTGTGGGTGCTCCATCACTGGAGATTTTCAATAAAAGACTAGACAGCCATTCGTCTGAAATGGTATAGGGTCTCCTTCTTGAGGGCTGGACTAGAGGACCTCCGAGGTCCCTTCAAGCTCTATTCTGATTGACTGATTGATTGAAATGGTAGGGTCTCCTGCTTGAAAAGGAGGTTGGAGTGGATGACTCCAAGTTCTCTTCCAACTCTACTCTCATTGATCGATTGTTAATTAAAAACAACCACCAGATTACAGAACAAGGGAAAGCCTGACGATGTACCCGATTGGATCAGGAATCCATAACCAGGTCATTTTGTCCTCCTTTCAGGTATGGACTTGCACCGGAGAGCCCTTATCCAAGCCAGCATGTTGAATGTCTCAAGGTGGCCACCTTCCTCATAAAACACGCAGACGATTACGGGGTGGATAGCTCCCGTATTATCCTTTCTGGGGACAGCTTCGGGGGTACTTTGGCCACACATGTTTGCCAGGTCCTGACGGACCGCAGTGACCTTCCCAAGATCCACGCCCAAGCCTTGATCTACCCCGCGCTTCAGGGTTTGGATTTATCCTTGCCATCCTATCAGCAGAACCGCAGAAGTCCCCTCTTGTGGCCTAAGCTGGTTGCCTTCTTAGGCTGCCGTTACTTGGACAAGCCAACGTCCTTGGCGGATGGGCTTCTGAAGGGCAGCCATGTTCCCAAGGCCACCCGTCAGAAATACCAGAAGTGGGTGAGCGCCGACCACATCCCAGAACGGTTCAAAGCCAGAGGCTACGTGGCGCCAGAGCCGTCCTCGTTCCAGTTTGACCCTCGGCTGCACGAAGAAATGAAAGTGGTGTTAACCGACAATTTTTCGCCCTTGCTTGCCGAGGACACGGTGATTGCCAAACTCCCTCAGACCTTCCTGTTGACCTGCGAGTTCGACGTCCTTCGCGACGATGGGTTGCTGTACCTGCGGCGGCTGATGGACAACCGTGTGCCGGTAACTTGGAGCCATGTAGAGAACGGCGTGCATGGGATCAGCGTGTGCTATGGCTACTGCTTCCTGTCCTTTTCTTCAGCAAACCGGATCGCGCACGAGCTTGCCAGTTTTGTCCGAAACTTGTGAGGCCGAAAACGAAAATGAGAGAGGGAACGTTGCCTTCTCGATCGTCTTCCGGGGAATCCGGTGGCCCGGACTCATGGTCCCCTTAGGATAAACCGCTTTATCCCGATTAATATTGGAAGAGTGCGATTGGGTCAGAACGACAGGTCTTGTCAGAACAGCGCTTGTTAAATTAGTTAATGTGATGTCAACTCATAAAATATTCCAATGCCTGTTTTAGTAGTTGCCATAAAATAAAATGAGAGGGAGGAAGGAAACCTGGAAGAGCAATGCAGCAGTTTGAAAGCGGAAGTACATTCCAACTCTTCTCTTTAAAAGATTGTAACTAAACTACCAGAGCTTTTGCCTGGGAATATATTTAATTGGAGAACATGATTGATGACACCAAGCCCGTGAAGGTGGTCAATTGGAGAATTTGATTTATGACACACCCAGGGGGGAAACGGGGTCATAGGGGACTGTGAAGGACGTAGGCCAGAGTTGGCTTCATACAAAGTAGTGCCAGTATGTCGCCTCTAATGAATCCTTCGAAGCTTTTTGAAGTTTGGCTCAAGGATCATGATTTAAGTAGAGCGGTTACTGGAATCCTGACACACAATTACTAATAGCTTGCTTTCAAAAGTTGTGGGCGCTCTGTCAGTGTAGCCTTTCAAAATAGACGGGACATTCCAGATGGGATTTGTCTGGAATGGTCTAGAGTCTCCTGCTCAAGAAGAGATTGGTCTAGAAGACAAGGTTCCTTCCAACTCTACTATTATTCTATTCTATTTTCTCTTCTCTTCTCTATTAATCTATTCTATTCTATTCTATTTCTTATTATTCTTATTCTATATTCTATTCCATTCCATTCCATTCTATTCTCTATTCTGTTCTGCTCTATTCTTTCTCGCTGCAAGACAACTCCATGTAATTATTTAAAATATTTTAAAAAAAATAGTTTAATTTTTATCATTCACATTTCATTCTGCCCCTCCTTTGGCAGCCTTCTTTTCGTGATTCTGTTCCACCATTTCTTCGATATTAGCCTAACTTTTTCCCCACAGCCAGTTGGCTGCGATGAGTTGTTCTAGACCCATAAGATTCAAGATTGTATTAACCGGCTTATATTTCATTCATTTCAGATGAATATACCTGGTTACAAAAACATTTATTGATTTCTCCCACGTACAAGTCTTACTCTGATGTCTTAAATCCACTTGACATGAATGGGAATTGTTCCTAATGTCACTTTCAAACTGGATGTTTTTAATTAAGTGAATGCCTTCCTCTGAATTTGTGGACAGAGCTCAGTTAGACCTGGAAAATATTATTCTTAGGCAAGTTAGAAACAAAGCATTTCGCTTTCCAGGATAACCATCCCACGGTAGTCAAAATATGTAATTGTTTTAACAAATCCGAAGCGAATTGGAAAAAAAAAGTAAGAAATTTCTTTTCTTTTGCCCTAAACAATTTGACGCAATGTTTGCTAATGGAGTAAGAAAGCCAGTGAATTTTCAGCACCTTCATTTCTTCAAAAGTTTTCAGACATATTGTAACAATTCAAGCTCTGTCCCAGTTTGGCAATTTAGCCTAAATGTACTTAATTTTGGTCTAATGTGGATCAGCAGTCTCGGTAAGCTTGCAATTAAAAATCCTCATCTTCTTTCATGTGCTGAATTTTCCATCTCTGGGGGGGTGGGGATGTAAATTCCCTTTGCATTTTAGAATAAATATCTCATTTCTCCTTACTGGGAAGCTCTGAATCCGGAATCATTTCAGCTGTAAAACAACCTTCAAAGAAGGAAAAAGAGGGAAACCATTAAATAACAACAGCATATTCAGATATATTATTTTAAACTTTATGGTGTAGACATGATTGTCCACATATCTTCTCAATCAATCCTCAATCGTGGAATTCCCAACGTATACAAAGGATAACGTAAGAGTAAAAATGGGGAATACAAAGAAACAGAAAAGTAATTTAAATTTTAAAAAATAGAATTATCACTCAGTTTGGGGTGAAATAAGCATTCAGGACCTCCTGCCAGATTGGGTGTTTCTCGCTGTCAATTTCCCACTGTCCTCAATGTACAACCACAACTGAGCCCAAAATGCACGTTGCTAAAGTGAAACATTTGTGAAGGGGGCGAAGCAAAAAGGACGCACCTTGTTCGCTGCTTCCAACGCATTTATCAGAGTCTGTAATTCTTCTTTGTTCATTTCCACAGAGGTGAATTTGAGGTCCCCATCCTTCGACAAATCCAGATCCAGGTTTAAAAGCGGCATCTGGAGCATGGACAATTTATCACTAGAAAGGGCGAGCTGCGTAGGGAAGCAAAGACAATGCAATTAAGACGGGTTTTTTTTTATCAGAAGCCATGAAAAAAATAAATTAGCAGTTGTTTTAAGGCCATAACATGAGAGCTGAAAGGAATTCCGAGTACGCATAAATGAGACATCTAGTTTGCATTCAGCATCTCTGTCTGTCTGTCTGTCTGTCTGTCTGTCTATTTATGTATCTATATCTATCATCTATATACCTCTCTATCTGTGTATCTCTATATCTATCTCCATCCATCCATCCCTCTCTCCATCCATCCAACCCTATTTCTCTCTATATATCTCTCCTCTCTGTCTCTCTCCATTCATCCCTATCTCTCTATATATATATCTGTCTCTCCTCTCTCTTTCTCTCTCCTCTCTCTATCCATCCATCCATCCCTGTGTTTGTGTGTGTGTCTCCTCTCTCTCTCTCCATCCATCCACCCCTATCTCTTTTTATGTCTCTGTCTGTCTCTGTCTTTCATTCCATCCCTATCTCTCTCTCTGTCTCTCTCTCTCCATCCATCCATATCTCTATCTCTCTATATCTATGTCTCTCTCTACATTTTTAACAGCTCCTTTTTTTTCTTTTGAGTTTAAGAATGGTAAACTCAGGAGCTTTTAACATGTCAGACAGTCCTCAATTGATCTCCTGCCAAATTTGGTATTCCTAGAAATATTATGCAGACAAGAATGAGAAGATTGATCTAACCTTGAGCTGCCAGTCAAAATTCAGGAGCTGGGAAGAACAAATGGCATTTGTGTTTCCAACCAGGGCTTGCCTGATATCAGGTTTTCTGGCTTTCAAGCAAGTCAGCGCTGTTCTTTGCGTGTCGGGATTTAACTCTGCCAACAGCCGAACAGCCTCCAAAAAAAAAGAGACAATTAGTGGTAAAAACATTTGCATGTTTATTCTTAAGCATCCGGCTGCCTAAATTGCATTAACAGAGGGATACAATCAAGATCAAGGGAGGTGCTACTACTACCAGTCCGTAAAGGCTTAGTAAGGCCACTCCTAGAGGATTGCATCCAGTTTTGGTCACCAGACTATAAAAAAAAGGTTGAGACTCTAGAAAGAGTGCAGAGAAGAGCAACCAGGATGATGAGGGGACTGGAGGCTAAAACCTATGATGAGCGGTTGCAGGAACTGGGCCTGGCTAGTCCAGTGAAGAGAAGGACCAGGGGAGGCAGGAGAGCAGCCTTCCAATATTTGAGGGGCTGCCCCAGAGAGGAGAAAGGGGGGGGTCAAGCTATTTTCCAAAGCACCTCAAAGACCAGAAAAGGAACAATGGATGGAAACTGATCAAAGAGGGAAATAAGGAGGAATTTTCTGACAGTGAGAACAATCAACCCATGGAACAGAAGTTGCCTTCAGAAGTTGTGGGAGCTTCATCACTTGAGACTTTCAAGAAGAGACTGGACTCCCATCTGTCAGGAATGGTGTAGGGTCTCCTGCTTGGGCGGGGGGTTGGACTAGAAGACCTCCAAGGTCCCTTCCAACTCTGTTGATGTAATCTAATCTAATCTGTAAACACATCTTGTGCGTAAATCTCCTCCATAAACCAAGCTTTGCTTATAATGTTCTTCATAATTTTCTTTTCTACACAATACATTTTGAGTTTGCCGGCAGAATCGAGTCTCTCTCTTTTTTTAAAAAAAAAAGCCCTGAGGGCGTTTCTACCTCCTCCTCAGAAAGATCTTTTCCAACAGTTTTCCTGAAGTACGACGCAGTTTCTTCTAGCACCTCCATCCATTCTGTTAAATTCCAAATCGCGTCGTAATCTCGATGCTGGGGAAAAGCCTGGCCACAGAGCCCATCGATGACTTTGTGGAAGAACTGCCAAAAAAAAGAAAAAAAAAGAAAGACATTGATTTCCTAAGGGCCATGACTCAGGTAGTCCTTGACTTACAATAGTTCATTTAGTGACCACTCAAAGTTTCAACGGCATTGGTAAAATATAAATAAAAGAGTGGCACTTTTGATACTTATGGCCGTTGGCAGCAACCCCATGGTCACCTGATCAAAATTCCAAGGCTACTGACTCGTATTTATGACAGGGGAGTCACACGATCCCCTTCTGCGACCGTCTGAGAAGCAGAGTCAATGGAGAAGCCAGATTCGCTTAACGACTGTGTTATTCACTGAACAACGGCAGGAATTTGCTTAATAAAATGGGCAAGAAAAGTGGGAAATTGGGGGGAGGGGATTCACTGAAATGTTTCACTTAGTGACAGAAATGTTGGGCTCCATTGCGGTCGTATGTCGAGGACTACCTGCAAGGCATGAATCAAGTTTTAATAACAAGAATACTAATTCCAGGACCGTCGTTCAGATTAAGGAACAAATAGCAACATTTATTTTAGCATTCAAACGTTGGGTGGCTTTTAAAATCAACGAGATAGCCACTCCTGAGCTAGTGCTTACTTATTAATTAATGCAATAAAATTAATTAATAATAAATAATCAGTTAAACATAAAAACAGGCTCCCCCAGAGATTTTTTGACAGCTTTCCATAACCAGAATGGGTTTATTTGGTGCACACAAGCCCCTTTTGCGGCAAAAAGAAAATTGCTGGGGGAAAAAGAGAACATTGGAGAGAGCTGGTTGCATCTATGCAAAAAAAGGGGGAAAAAGAGAGATGCAAATGTAAGAAATAGGAGGTTAGAGTAGATGACCTCCAACGTCCCTTCCAACTCGTTATTCAATACTGCAAGGATGAAATATAGAAAGTTAAAAAACCCTAGTACGCATGTGCAAAAAAACAACCACCACCCCGTCCAGGACGCGCGCATGCGCACACACGTTAGACGCGCGAGAACCGTTCTGCGCATGGGCAGTTAACGTCGCCCGTTCGAAGCCCGAACTGAGGGGGAAATTGAAGGGAAAGAAGACGCTCCGCTGATGCGGGAACCCAGATAGGCTATATCCGAATATAATAAAGCCCCTCTCCGTCGTCACCTTCGCCGTTTCGGCCGCGGGCAATTTCCCCAAGAGCTTCATCTTGTCCTACGCAGACGCAAACGTGCCGACGGGGTCCACCCAGCTCTCTCTCTTTTTTTATTTTTTATTTTTTGCAGTTGTACCCCGTCGCGCGCATGCGTGGTTTCCTGCGGCAGAAGCCCGCGTTTTCCAACGGAGTCGGCTAGCCGTGGCCGTTTCTGCGCAGGCGCAGCCTTTGGCTGGCGGGAGGAGGAGGAAGGGCCTCGTTGTCACATGACTAGCATTGCATCCCGGGAGTTGTAGTTTTGTGACACCAACTGCAGTACAATTGAGGGACAGATCAATCAATCAGAGTACAGCTGGAAGGGACCCTAGAGGTCTTCTAGTCCAGCCTCTGATTGCAGGCAGTCCTCGCCTTAAACAACACTTCCTTTAGTGGCCAAAGTTCAAAGTTATAACAGCATTTTAAAAAACAAAACACTCGGGGCGGTTTTTCACAGTTAACAACAGTTGCAGCATCCTTGTCATCAAAAATTCCCACGCTTAGCAAGTGACTCGTATTTATGACGGTCGCAGTGTCCCGGGAATCACGTAATGAGCAAAATCAACGGGTGTGTGTGTGTGCCAGTTTCAGTTAACAACCATGTTGCTAACACCTGCAGCGATTAACGACGGTGGCAATGCCAATGTTGGGCTCCCTGGTGGTCAGGGGTGGGCTACCTGTCTTTGCAGAGTGGGAGGGAGGACACAGGCCAACCTGCAGAACCCAGGAGAGCCATTGTCTCGACTCTTCTAGAATGTTCACACGGTGGGCTTCAGTTGCTGGTTCCGAACTTTCTCCGAGTTGGAGGCCCCTGGCTGGCGGTGCAAAGATTTTCAGCCCCCCTTGTGGCTTAAGGACATGAGTCAGATTTCTTCTGTGAAAACTCCCATTGGCAGCAGAGTCCAAACAAGTGAGTTCCTGTATTAGTATTATTATTATTGTTATTATTATTTTAAAAAAATGCCTGCTTTTTTGAGCTACCATTAGCTGTCTTTCCTCTGGGATCAGATGTGGGCGAAACCCTACCCTGTGCAAGGTAATAGAATAACAGAGTTGGATGGGACCTTGGAGGTCTTCTAGTCCAGCCCTCTGCTCAGACAGGAGACATCTCCTTATAGGATAAGAGAGAAGGGACCTTTTACTTTACTTTTACTTTACTTTTACTTTACTTTTACTTTACTT